GTAAGGAAATGACAGACACAGCAGTAAAGGGATCTACACTCAGTGTTCTAGATCGGTTAATTTGGCTGAGATGAAAACCAGTTAAACAAGAAACATAAAGCAAATCCCATTACCAGTATGAAACACCAACAGCTATAAGACACCAAGCAACACCAGCTCATTCAGAACCATCAAAACCAAAACACCACTGAAGACCCGTAACCACAGGGGCAGACTTACTATAAGGCAAGGGTAGGCAGCCACCTGGGCCCCTAAAAACCAGGGGCCCCTGAGAGCCACCCCTCATGAAGACAGACTTTCCAGAAGTTACATGTAAGAATTTAACATAATATAATCTGATGCCAGATCAACGTTTAAATGACCATTTAAGCAAATACTCCTTTAAGGATCCACATCTACAAACCAGGCAACCGGAAGCTCAAAGATGTTCTCTTTCATGGTCCTGGAAGATGCATATTGGAAATTTTCCATTAATAATAATAATAATAATAATAATAATAATAATAAGGGGCACTTCTGATATGGGTGTGATGGAATTGTGACAGGTCACATGTGTGTTACCTGGTAGCAACTGAAGGGAGCCCTGGGGTCTGCATATGCAGAGAGGGAGGTCCTTAAGGAGCAGGGGCCCTGGGGTCTGCATATGCAGAGAGGGAGGTCCCTAAGGAGCAGGGGCCCTGGGGTCTGCATATGCAGAGAGGGAGGTCCCTAAGGAGCAGGGGCCCTGGGGTCTGCATATGCAGAGAGGGAGGTGCTTAAGGAGCAGGGGCCCTGGGGTCTGCATATGCAGAGAGGGAGGTCCCTAAGGGGCAGGGGCTGCAGTTACGGGAAGAGGGTCTTAAAACGCAGTCTCCATTCCTGAATGAGTCATTCCTCCAGTCAACTCATCAATCAATCTATCAATCATTACTTAGATATGCACCTTCAATAGCGCATGAGAAAGTACCATCATGGACAAAAATGTCCATCCATATAATATTCATATCTATGCAACAGAAAATACAGGATACGTGAAAGGAGGCACACTGGCCCAGCCGCTAGTCCATTGCAAGGCACACACACAACCATGCAATATGGGCAACTTAGAGACAGCAATTCACCAATTGTGGACCATGGGAGGAAACAAGAGTCCCTATACCGAACACGTATAAAGTCCAGAGACAGGAATGGGCCAGCAACCAGGTCTGGAGGTGTGGAGGCACAGTGATGTCACCCTTCTGCCCATGATGTCCAACAAAACACCAAAATCCAATTTTATGAACAAGTTGTGGCACCAGGAAGCTGTAAGTCTTTGGAATGGCTGTTAAATTTAAGAGAGATTCATGCAGAGAATCTCAGAGATCTTGCAGGTCCTACTCCTGCATTGGTATGACTATCTATCAGGGATTCAGACAGCATGCCTCCTGGGGGTTTTACATTTGGGGTGGGGGAGGGGGGTCAGCTATCAGGTTGCCGTTCCAGCCCAGTAGACAGTGGAGTAACACTATGGCTGAGTGGCAGCCATGTGATGGACAGACCCTGTTTGGTGCCCGGAGCCCAGCGGATTCCTTCCTATGTCAGAACCGAAGGGATGACTGGATGCACACACCCTCTTAGCTGGACTTACAAAGTGTCCTGTGATGTATTCAAACCTAACTAGACCCCATAAAGAGTCACAATGTCTATGCATAACATCCTGTGTAAACACTTAAAAATGTGGCACAGATGCGATGACCGGAAACAGGAGGCACATCGTCTTTCCGTGCGAAACCAGGCAGCTGCTACTCATGGCGACTATTAGTTGTGTGCTTAACTGTGACTCAAGTCTCCTTTAGCTGCCTCAATGGGGGGGCTGAACTGGAAGCTTCTGGCTACTGAGAGGCTGCAGAGCTCGGATGCCCCATTAGCAGGAGCCTCAGTTGGTGAGGCAGTGGCCACCAGCATCTCCATGGCAAAGCTTCTCCAGGCCCCCGGATACTAAAGGAACACGAGTGTTAAGGTTACTCAAGGGGGCCCGGAGAACATGGGAATTATTTGAGGATGTGTGCTGACATGCACAGAGGCCCAGCTAGAGGCCAACTGTCACCCTATTCAATGAGACAACGTTATGTACCATTGTGACAGCAATCAACTAGGTCTGCTCTTTGAAAGACAAGAGCTGCTGTTCATTCTCTCTACCCAACTTGCGACTGGACCCAGACTCACGCTGACTGGCAGAAGTAATTTTCTTGAAGTATGAACCTTAAGATGCCCAACACCCAAGGAAGAGAGAAGGTGTGCTAAGTTGCATAGCTGTCCTTTTAATCTTGTGAATCCAAGGTGACCCAAGGTGGCCATAAGTCTGAATGAAAGGCTCTATGATGGAGGCACAGAGAAATGTTGCCCCCCCACGGCTGTTGTCGGCTGACTAGCTACATGATCCATTCTGCTTGTGGATGGCTGTGATCCATCCATTGAGGTGATGTTTAGGTATTCTGCAGTGGGACTGCAAGCCTGCCCGCACCTCTACAGTCTTCTAGTCGTGTTGCCATTCAGGACCAGAGCCATTTCGTGCTTATCATCCAAACCAGGCCCCCCTGTTCGTGTCTTCACATGAGAACAATTCTACACTCATCTCTGCTACAGCAAGCATTGGCAGTGAACCAAATGGGCAATGGCGGGGCGACGCTTCTGGGGAGCAAATCGCAGAGCTCTAGTAGTGGCAGATTCCTCACGCCGCTGGAATTATTTTCAAAAATGTAACAAGTTTATTAGACTGCAGGTTACTGACAGAAGGGGCCATCCATTTTAAGGTGGCAGACACACTATTCAAAACCTGATCCATAACAAAACCAATACATACTGTGATTTTTACCCACCATGCAGTGAGAGAGTGTGCAGCACAGAAGCACTTCACTGCAGCACAGTGATCTTTACAGCGATTGGACAGATTATCAGATCCCTTCCTAACCACAACAGGGCACAAGGGGAACAGCTGCAAAGAGTGAAAAGCTAAACACAGTAACTTATTGGTCACGGTGACGTGATCCCAGTGTCACGTGATCACCTTCAATGGACCACAGCCACAGTGTCAGCCTGCGGCAGTACAGGAATTCTGACCATATGGCTACTTGTGAGTATATATTCCTGTTATTTCAACATCGCTGCTGCCAGGCATGCTAAAGGACTCACCATTAGAGGAGCTCACGCCCTCCCCCCAAAATACTCGTAGTGGTGAAACCACCATAATTAACCAGCCCTAATCTCTGATTCATTTGGCTTTTGTAAAGGACAAAGTAAATTATGGAAGTCCAGGATCATTTAAAATATGTTATTCTTCAAATGTATTTTTGTCTATAGGAGATGGCAGAGGTGCCTCACTCCTCTGGGATTAGTAGTTCAAATCCCAACCCCCATTGTATGTGAAGTTCACTCATTTTTCCCTAGTGGTGTGACTTTACTCCCATAGTCCAAAGCCACATAGTTAACAGTTTAGTGCCTTATGCTCTTTGCTCCTTGGCACAGGCTCCAGGCCTCCCCAGCACGGACCAGAGGTGGATAGTTCAGATTCAGAAAGTCAAAATCCAGACCAAGATATTGTTCAACCAACCAGTTTCATACTCTGTGACCAAGACTCTTTATACCCAACTGGTTGATTGAAACAAAATCTCGCTCTGGATTTTTACTTTCTGAACTGAATTATCCACCTATAGCACTGACTAAGCAATTGGAAGATGGATGGATGGATAGATCTGTTTCCATTTAGAAATCTGTGTGCAGTTTCCAAAACATGGCATAAATTATGTTAAATAATCACATTTAATTACATATATTATATTTGCACACATAGCATCTTCAGGAGGGCAAACATGCAAGGAAAAGTAGGTCTCATGTTGTAGCACATGGGTAGGCGTTATGGTTCACCATGGGAGCGATGCAGCCTGACTTGTTTGTAATCAGCCCCGAATCACTCGCACAGTTGAGCCATGGGGCTTTTGAGTTAGGAGTGGCTGCCCTAAATACATAGGTGTGATAAGGGCTGTTTTGTCGAGTGAGGTACCGCAGAGCAAATCTGTGACCCACAATGCATCAGGGCTTGGGCACTGAGATGCACAGAAAATAAGAGGGAGTAGGATTTCTTAAGACAGATTATTCTTCAGCCTGCCCTTCATTTCTCGTGGGCTTACCAGAACAGGAGTGTATGAAGTACACGGCCAGCTGGGCTCGCAGCTGTGACACCAACACACTTTGCAATGCATCATGGGTGCACAGGTTGAGATGTGGCGTGCCTCAAACTGATAACGTGTCATCTACATTTAAAAAAAGTGTGTACAAAAACAGGAAATTGCCTAACAAAAAAGAAAACTTAAGCATACCTACATTTGCAGAACAACAAAAACCCAGAGAGAGGAAGAGTCCAGCTTCTGGGGTGATCCAAAGTTCTCACTTTTCTTCAACACACAACCTAATAATTAGTGGTTATGCTGATAATGCCTCCAAACAGAATAAACCCACTACAAATAGTGAGCCCATTTAGTCCAGGGTACACTGAATGATTTCAATAAACTAAAGGAAATTAAAAGCCTGAAATGCCTCGTTACTGCAGAGCCAACCAAACCAGGTCAGCTGACATTTTGTTCCGTCATGCATGAAAATTCATCTCTTGGAGGAAGTCACGTTTTCTAAGCGTGGCTCACATCATTGTTTTTGTTCAGATCTTTTTCTTGACTGAGATCCCTCTGCAAATGAAATTAAAGGACACCGGCCATCCTGACAAAATGAGCCTCATGACTCATTAAAGAGAAAGTGAGTAATTGCCTGGAAACAAATTGAATTTCTTCTGTTTATTTTATTACCTACAGAAGACACAAAACACAGGCTAACAAGTAACAAATGGAAAGTAACACGATAAATCTCAAAAGGAATTCAAAGACAGACATTTAAGAATTGTTATTGAATTGTGCAGAAATGTATCATACTGTACTGCCCCTCTGAATGTCTGCAAAATGACTACAAAATGAAAGTTGTCACCAGGAGAGATGAATGTAGATGTTTTTATTCAAAAAGGCTCGAAGTTATAGATTCTAAACTTGACATGGCAAACAAATTTTCATGGTGGTGGGATGGACATTTCAAGAATGTATTTATATATTTCATACATACCGTCCAAAGCAATGTACAAGGGTTAGAGAACAAGGTCAGCCAGCATCCCTGAAGCAGCTGGAGTTAAGGGCTTTGCTAAAGGCCTCAATAGCCACAGAATTTGACTTCACTACCTTCCAGACATGTCCACAATTCCCTAACCCAGTGAGGTACACACTGACCCCCGGAGACAATGAAAATAACAGTGCCAAGAAGAGGGGAATTTGAATGGTTACTATAAGCATGAAAACACACCTTCAAGAGTGACAAACTACATAATCAGGGACTAAAAATGAACACGAAGCGTGACAGTGATCCAACACTGTGAGGTGAGGTGCACTGTGGTCCTGATTTACCCAAAGGTATTATAGATCATAAAGGTCCTGTTACTCGGAGGTATCAGGACAAGACTGCAACACGATGAGGTCATTTATGCATCTGATCTTTGAGAGCTAAGGCAGTATTTCTGTGAGAATTTCTGGAGAGCTTTTGAGGGTTATGGAGGTTGCCAACGCAAGCGTTATACAACCACAGCTGCTGAGTCTTCGGGGACTGACTGTTGGGAACAAAAGTGGACCCAAGAAACGCTTGTCAGCAGGAGACGATACCTGAGAGTTCCCCTATCGCACACCTTCTGTCTTTCTGCATTCCCATCAACTTGTGGCAGATGTTTGCAAGCCATGCTCTGCCCTGACATTTGAAAGGCCTTCAGCTAGTAGTGCACACAGAGCATTTCAACGTGCTGGTGACGCCGGATTGATCTTAGAATATCAGTTGCTGCCTGTGCTTTCCAGATTCACTCCAACGTGAGCTTCTTGCTCCCGCTCGGTTCCAGGGCCTCAGGTAGTCTTATCCAAGTTTCATCTCCATGCCAAGATGGTTTCTGAGACACAGGTGAGTCCCCAAGTTAAGAGTGCAAGTGCATCATGGATGTTCTGTATTTGCCAGGCCAGGACAGGCCATCAGACATACTGTGCATGGGCCAATGAGTTTGTGGGTTGACAAAAAGTCCAGGGCTAACTGCTAATCCCAGTCCAGCCCTGATACTCGCTTAACATACATTTACAAAATGTGGTACATGAACAGCATCAATTCAACAGTAAGAACTCAAGTCATCGGATGACTAAAATGATGGGGTATCTGAAATTCACACAATTTATAAATATCATAACTTACCTCTCTGCTGCATCTCGTACAAATGTGACCCACTAACCACATTGTATTTTATCAGCTATGTATGATGAATTTCCCAATGATGATGGGTGAAACCTTATGATGACTTTTCATAGCATGGCATTGTGTGAAAAATTTTTTCGTGATGAATGGTAAATGTGATGAGGTTTTCAGCACAGAGCTTCTATGTGTTGGGTTTTTTTCCCCCTTGAATCATACAACAAAGATGCTTAATCAAGAGAACTAACAGCAAATACTTTTATACGTTATCCCTATAATATCAGATGATCATTTTAAGAACATAAGAACTATACAAACGAGAGGAGGCCGTTCGGCCCATCTAGCTCGCTTGGGGAGAACTTAACTAATAGCTCAGAGTTGTTAATATCTTATCTAGCTCTGATTTAAAGGAACCCAAGGATTCAGCTTGCTCTACGTTATCGGGAAGACTATTCCATACTCTGACTACACGCTGTGTAAAGAAGTGCTTCCTTAAATCCAGTTTGAAATGTTCTCCCACTAATTTCCACCAATGGCCACGAGTTCTTGTATTTGAACTAATGCCGAAGTAAGTATTTGGTTGAACAGCATCCAAACCTGTTAGAATCTTATAAACCTGGATCACGTCCCCCCTCAGTCTCCTTTGCTTGAAGCTGAAAAGATTTAGCTCAACAAACCATTCCTCGTATGACATTCCTCTAAGACCAGGAATCATTCTTGTGGCCCTACGCTGCACCTTTTCTAAGGCTGCAATGTCCTTTTTAAGATATGGTGACCAAACCTGCACACAATATTCTAGGTGAGGTCTCACCAAGGAATTGTATAATCTTAGCATTACCTCCCTTGACTTAAACTCCACACACCTGGAAATATATACCCCAACATCCTATTGGCCTTTTTTATTGCTTCCCCGCACTGGCGAGAATGAGACATGGAAGCACCAACATACACACCAAGGTCTTTCTCATAATCAGCTACCTTTACTGGCGATCTTTTATGTTGGATCGCCAGTATGTACCCATCCATCCTAACCATTTACCCTAGTCAGAACCTAGCCCAGGCAGCATAGGGTTGGGGTGCATCTAAGAAGGCATACCAGGTCATTGCAGGACAAATATACACAATATATGTAATCTAGGGATACCAATTAGCCTAACTGCATGTCTTTGAACTTTGGAAGGAAACTAGGGAGCCGAGAGGAAATTCACGTGAGGAGAACATGCAAGCTCCACACACAGGGAGGTGGGAGGCACACCCCCCAACCCTGAAGGTGTGAGGTGTCAGTGCTACTTACGGAACCAACATTTACACATGATTAAAAAAAATACGTATTCTCGCTTATTCATTACAATAACAATGATCTCAGCCACAGAAGAAGATTCCCTAAATGTGAACAGGACTCAAAAGTCCTCAAAGCCATGATGGAAAGAGTGATGGAAAGATCAGCAGCCAGGCTTTGGGTTCTATGTTCAAGGAGTCTGTCTTCTGTGATCAAGGAAGCTGCATCACCATATTAAATGTGCACATTACCAGTCAGTGCAAAGAATTTCTTTTTCTGCAGACCAGCACTGAAATTTAGATAACCATTTTTGCCCCCTAAAATAAACTAAATGAAACTGATTTAATCAAACCACACATGCTTAATAATTCTGAAGGTTTACACTTTGGAGTGGGACTGTGTCACGTTCAGCCGGTAGGCGAACCAGGAAGCAGGTCGAGCTGAGCCAAACTTACGGGTAGAAGGGGGTTTATTGGCTGACGGACAGACAGGCACGGACATCTACGGACAATACAATGACAGATCTGGGGAAGACTGACTCAGACGAGGACTAAATACAAAAGACAAGCTAGACCTAACAGGACACAGGTGATCACACTCAGGGCTGAACACGAGGTAACGAGGTGGGCATGGCACACATCAGGAGCGGACGGAGCGGGGCGTGACAGACTGTTAGTCTTAAACATTAACTCAACAAAGTTTGTGTAACTTTGTAAATGACCAACCCCCAACTGAGTTTCTGCAAGAGACAGATATTAAATCCAGGACAAATGCAATTTTGTACGATTTGTTGTATGCAAGTGAACACAGTATAGCATAAAACACTGAATAGATTATTAGTGTGTTTCTCAGTATAATCCTGTTTGACTGTTACCATCCGTGTTCTGGATTTGCAGATCTGAGGGTAGGAATGTGACGTGCTGGAGATGGTGGTGGTGTTTGACGAGGGTGCAGCAGGTAATGGAGAGGACAAAACAAGTTTATGGGTTAATAAAACTCACATTAGCTCCAGCGTCAGGCTTGACCCAAGCAGAATTACAGCGCTGCACTGATTTATAAAAGTCTTTCACAGGAAGCAGGGCTTACAAGAAGTGACGTCAACGGGTTTATGGTTTCAATAAAACAGGGCCGCCTTCTCGCCCTCCCAGCAGCCATCTGAGCTGGGGTTTACCAGCAGTTCTGGTGGTTAAAAAAAAAGTAACTTCCCAGAAAGTACAGTGGCCTGTGAGGGGAAAGTGGTCTTCTGGTTATTTGGGGATGGATGGGGGGCACTGAGGAGGAAGGGGGGTATTTAGGGGGGTTAAAAGTTTAGCTGTCCATAGGTGCATAATTTTTTTATGTGATTCAAAGGCACCTAAAATAATGGCGTAAAACCTTCAAATGTTGGAAATATTAGTAGGGTTTAGTGTGAATAGGGGTAATAACAAGCGCACTGTGTCTTTCCTGAGGAGAACAAGCAGGGAAACTGAGGAAGTTTAGAGTATTTGACTTTGACAATTTGATTTCCGTAGACCAGGAAAACAAGAGACGATCAGTCTCACAAATGTGGCTATCCCAAACCTCTTGCCTTAGCTTGGTGAGGACACATGCATTTTTTTTCCAACAAGGACTCAAAAGACAGAGCTGAGTTTGCGTAATATTATCTCTGTAGTGCATTTACCACATGAATTTATCCCCAGACACGCATTTTTACCATTTGACCCATTTGCAGCGGTGTATATTTACAGATCCACCTCAGGTCATTGTACTTTAACTCAGAACCGGGCTCTGACCTGTGTGGTAGGTGTTCCCTTCCCATGATTTAAACCCACATCCTCCCTCCCCCGTCCCCTCTTGTTCTGGCACCACGTGCCACTCGCTACTCGAGAAATACTACCCGCTTTAGAGGACGAAAGAAGGCCAAAGTGGAATTTCAGACCTTCCAAACGGACGAAGAGGCATTGGGGGAATGTGGGATGGGTTTGGATCACCCACATTCCCAGCTCTCCGTTACTCGTCTGCGCTATTTTGATGCAGGAAACATCACTTTGCCAGCTCATGGGATCGTAAACCACGCTCATCACCCGCCCTGGTTAAAAGCGGAGGTCACAGTAATCCATATTTCAGCCTGCCACTGTCAAAAACCTATAATCCAAATCCTTAACCTGCCTAAAGACGTCACCATAAGCCTAATTCCTCGCTAAGGCCCGTATTCTGCCGCCCCGCGTCAAGCCCGGCGCTTCCCCTCCAGCGACAAAGCCGGCCGGTGTACTGCCATTGTCGCCGTAAGGAGATTTGCGTTGCCGCGCCGCCATTTGAATACCTGACAAGAAGATTAATTCACTTTCTACAGAGAGAGGAGCCCGGAAAACAAACAGAGCGCTGATTAAATCCTCCCGCTCGCGAGATAGTTTTGTTAGGGAGCCTTTAGTCTCTTCAAAGGGGAAGAAAAAACAGCGACAGAAGTTGGGTGACAGTTTGGAGGGGGGGAATAAAGCCGGCGCGAGTGCTTTCTGTCGGCTCCAACTCGAACAGCTTGCTGGCAAGGCGACACAGCGAAATTTACATCCGTCATCAGGAAACTCGCGCGCCACAAAAGCGATGTGTTACGTACCTATAATCCCGTATTTACATAACGCGGTTCTCTTGTTGCAAACGAGCAACTATTTTGCATACCGCTACCGCGCGCGCTCATTACTCCTCTCTTCTCCTCTCCCTCCCCCGCTGTCCTCTTTCAGGCAGGTGTCCGTCCCGCAGGCGCAGTTCGGCCCCCTTGGCCGCTCGCTCGGCACAACTGCGAAGCAGCCCTTCTCAGTAACTTTCTGGAGAACACAAGAAATTCTGGCAATTTGTATTGTTTTGCTGTTCGTTTCTGTGTATTCTAACGTAAATTCAGTTTTTTTTTCACACCCAGATAAATTGCTTTTGCTCAGTAGTTTACATGCTTATTCCATAGAAACATCCCCAAAACCATATACTTACATGTGTTTGGCCATAACACTAGAGGTCCCTTGCCAGAATTACTTTATTTGTTATTTTAATTACCTAATTGCTGCATTCTAAGCGATTAATGTTACCCCCCATGTACACCCGGGTAACCAGCAGAACTTCCTTAGAACCAAAAGCCTATGGCTCTTTATTGAAAAGCCTGCCTCTTACATTAACATGCCACTCCATGCCCTCAGACAGGGTTAACTGTGTCTGAGGGAAAGTGCGCATGCCAGGGGTTTACTGCAACCGTTAACGATGATGTCAATAAGACAGCAGAGCTTAATAGACTCATTAGGCCGGAGGCACCTTCCTCAGGGCTGGATCCCCCCACCACACTGTCACATGTGGACCAGTCCACCCCCCCCCCCCCCTCCACCTTGTTCGGATTGACTTAACCTTGCAGAAGGCGATGATTCTTGTTTACAGCATCTCTTACCCTTGCACTGAATCTTCCCATAATTCCTTTTATGCAATTTCTATAGTAGCTGGTATTAGAGTTCCTTACTGGAACATACCAATGTCTGTGAGCCTCAAAGGGTGATAATTTGCTGCTGGAAAATACTGAGATGTACTGACATAGACACAGATAAATACCTTTAGATTGGCATGCAATGACTGCCAATTTTATTTAATTTTTTTTTAAACAATTAACTTTTCGCGAGTTCATTCACAGGGTTTAGTAAACTTAGAGTGCCACCTGCTGGGTGGACCAAGCCAAGAAAAAAAAAAAGAAATTGACAAGCGACCAAATACCGGTGCGAGCCACTTCACTGGGATCAGAGAGGCTTTCCCTCCTTCCGTTTCCCAGCAAGTTTAACGGGGAACATCTTCCCTACTGCTGCATGCGAGGATTTACTGAAGACTCCAGGTGCATTTTACCACATGAAAGACACAGATTAACTATCCCAAGAACCTCCACGAAGCCGATGCTAAATCAAAGCTTGGTTCTGAAGCAGAGCCTTTGTGTGGCTTTTCCCACCTTTCATCGACTCATCTGCTGGCTTGGTCATGTGACATCATCACCGCAGAACCCGCAGGCTGCTGGTAACAGCACCTGTGACCCGTCCGTCCTGGCCCCGTGGGGGCAATACAGGGTTACAGCGATGGCTAATGCTCTAGCAGGAGCACAGTGGCAATCAGCTATATTGCCAACATCAGAGCCCTTGGGGACACAGGCGGCCATTATGAAGGTTGGGAGCAAGGAGCTGCTCAGGGGGAGTGTTTTGTGCTGCCTGAAACACATTAAAGCCTCAGCAGTGGGAGGGGGGGGGGTCCTACACAACGGTAAGGATCCTTCCCATCTGCCCCGGCTCAGCCTCCTACCTCTTTCAATGGCTTAAATGAGCGACAGGCCTTAACTGTTAAATAGCCCCCTCTACACACTGCCCTCCCCAATCCCCTCTCCCAGCCCCCATAATTGATCCCCCCAGCTCCTCCCCAGCCGAACCGTCGGGGGGACGTTCTATCGGCCTGGATTGAAACCCAGGGTCTCTCGGCCAGGACCAGTTAAACAGGCTGGGCTGACAGCTTGAGTGATGAGAACGACTCCTTTTTAAAGGCTTGGAGAACTAAAGGCAGTGGGAGCAGAAGGACCCCGCTCAGTGTGAGCCCCTTTCAGATGCCTGCGTTGCGGCCTCCCTTACACGGGGCTAACCCAACCGTACGCGGGCCTTTGATATCTAACTCCCCAAAGCCAGTATTTGACAGTCCTCTCATTTTAAAACATGAAACATTTGGAGAAAAAGCCCTCAGTGTACAGAGGTGTACATATTATTTTTCCGCATACTACTTTGGGGGGATTATCTGTACCCTGCTAGAAATCACCGGCTTGACGTTTGGTCACCTAGAGGTTATATTTGAATGAGCAGCCACAGGAAAACCAACCCTCCCCATGCAGAGATTGCTGTTTCCTGTCCACGGCATAGTCTGGCTCCATAACTCACTCCCCCCCACCCCCGTCAGTGTGGTCCACTATGGGGGGGCGGGGAGGTTGTCTTTTTTGAGAGACAGGTTCACATGCAGAGGGATTGAATGGGGCTTTTTTTTTATTAGGGCAAACAAATGAAAGCTTGCCTCATTTCAGCTTTCTGAAATGCATAGATGGTCACATGGAATGTGCTGGAATATCTCTCACAGCTTGACATCTGTGTCACCTAAAATACATCAGCAATAACACTGAAGTCAATAAAGTTAAAAAAGACTTAGTCCTTATATCCTCAATGTCCAGGGCTTGCTTGTGTGGGGTCTCACTCATAGCTTTGACCTCACCTCTATCCTTGGCACTGTAATGCACTCTGGGAGATATCCAGTCAGCGGCTGGGGCCAGTCATCTGGGAGATGGATTAGGGTCAGTCTCAACCACTAGGCTGGCTATGTCAGGTTCATTCCTAACGTCCCTTGGGACAGACTATCACATGCTGCTACACTTGATTAGTGAAATTATTCTCTCTTGGCAAGATGTATGGTGGTTTGAATGAGACCAGGTACGCATTGTGTTGATGATGTTGCTGTTGTCTGAGGGCCTGTGCAAGATGGAAGATCCAAAGTGCTGTCCTTTCTGGTTAACATCTCGTTCAACTGCTTCAGTTACGCCGGCCTGCCTCCGGAGGGAGCAGAAGCACAGACATCTCGATTTTCCCAAAGAGGTAACCATCAGAAGCCGTAAGTCACAGCAAATTTTAAAGATGGACCCCAGAGAAGATGGGGCCATTGTGGACAACGAGCCATACTAAGCATGAGGTCATTAATCCAATGAAGGACCGGAACCAGAAGTCCTGTCCTTCGTTTTCGTCCTTCCATCCAGATCCATCAACTCATAGGGGTACAGAGAGCTCGTACTCAGCACCCGGGTGGCAGATGATCACAGAAAGGCCCAGCTGATTCTGGAGATGGCATCAGCACTCTCACTTGGGCCATAATGGCTTCCAATCTGCCACATTTCCACCCTGCTGCCACTTACCCCTGGATAACGTTAAGTTACCTTTATGCTTCTTTGGAATCATTTCACAAGTCAACACAGATAAGCTCCCACCACACAAGCCCCCACACCTGAAATCTACTCCAAAAGTAGAAAATAAATCATCCCCCCAGACCAAGATGAAATACGTACATAGCACACTTCACCCTGCTGAATTAGCAGACCTATGAAACTCAGAGGGGGTGTCTATCGGCCCTTTCGAGCAGGAGGAACTGCTGATGTGTTAATCCAGCTGTCAAATGCACTAATTACCGACTCACACAGACCAGCTGCCTGAACATCACCTGCGGTTCGACACACAAATATTTGAGGCAAAACTAATGTAAAAAAAAAAGCCAGAGAAACTTCTTTATCGGTACGAAACAACACCGGTCTCACTTTGGAAGGATGTATCTGTGCCCATCAGGCTCTAATCAGCAGAGTGAGGAGCAAAGCGCAAAGAGACCACGAGCCTTAACAGTGGAACGTATGCAAAGTGTGAAATGAATGAGGATTTGCCGGCAGAGAAGACAGGAGAGAGACAGGGAGGTTGCGGTGGGAGTGTGGCTATGCAAATGGCAGCAGAGCTAAAATATTAATATCCCCCCCGTCATCCGTGGCACCTGCATTTCCCCCCTCTGCACATGGCGGGCACCCGTGTCACCCGTGTTCTTATCTTTAAATAGCCGTGCTGTGATGTGGGATCTGCAGGGCCATGAATCTGCAGACGGCGCCCCCACAGACGTGCATTTATGTCAACCGTACGCCGATCCACTCCAGCCCATCTCCCTGGAGACGACAGGACCCTTTGTCATCGCCCCGCCTCGGTGGAAGGGGGGTGTGGGCCGTCCACCTTATTAGGGGGCTCGTTCTGAACAAAGGGGGCGGCCCTGCTGCAGCCTTTCCTCATGTGGCGGGGGGGGGGGGGGGAGAGCACTGCTGAGGCTGGCTCGTCGAAATATTGCGAGAGGCATGCGTACGAAATCCTAGCGGGTTATTTCTAGCGCTGCAGCGGGGCGCGAGGCTTTGTCGGTGCACTCTCATCTGTGCCCCTGGGTCCTTGCAGAAAACGTCTCCCTCACACGCAGATATACGGCTCTGAGTGGCTGCCGGATTCATTCCTGAAGGCCGGCTGTGTTCAGGGCAGGTTTCCTTGTAATCTGTCCTGGCAGTTTCATTTGCTCACCATTATGCTAGAAATAAGGTGGACTTGCAGTCAAAAGGTGGAGTCAAAATAAAATACATTTAAAATGCTGTAAAATGCACTGGTTGGGTTCTGCTGGCTTTATGTATTAAAGCATATGAGACTGAATGTCTTTTATGAAAAGGATCCTTTTTCTGATGGAAGAACAAGGTCCCTCTATGTCCCCAAGGCCTTTTAGAAAATAAATTGTTCAGAAATAATCACGAAACAATAAGTACTTACAGAAGAACGCGTCGGGGTAAAATGCGAAATATTCTATTCATGCAGTTTCTGAAATGTTGCCGATACATTGGCCGCTCTCATCTATTAGTATTTTGAAAATTGCATGTTTTCCCATTTAAGTATTCAAGGCCTGCCTCATGCTTTAATAGACTTCATTCTGTGAAAATTGCCTCTGGTGTAGATGGCCCTCCCTCCTTCTAAAACAGAAATGAATAAGAGCGCCTTTTAAGGACACCGACATAAAACAGGATGTCACATGTGGTAAATAACTTTCCTGGCATTGATTTAAACGCCATGTGGGATCGCTGTGAAGTCCTTAAAGGAGAGCCGATGCCCATTTGTTTGGTATTAGCGAGTTTGTTTAGACTTTAAATACGGCGCTTGGTTGTGAGTTGGAGACAGGGTGTGCTTGTGGAGATATCTAGGGGTGACACAAATTAAAAACAGCCATCTCCATCACTGAATGACTAATGTACAGCTATTGCAAAATAAACACAGAAGATGGCTTCCAGATGTAAAAGGCCTGCGAGCAAAGTGAGCAGTGTGAGTGTGTGTCTGTGTCTGTTTTGCCATGCCTTTTCTCACCATCGTTATGTGTCATATAAACACAGAATTTCCACTTGTTTGCTACTAAATATGAATGTGGCTGTTCGGAAACATTTCTAAACACAGACACACTATTATAGAAGTTGACATTCATACCCCACACATTACAGTAATGGCACCCAGCTACACACACAGCTACGTACTGAACTTAGGCATAACTATAAGTGGTACTTTGAAACAGGTATTGTTTTTAAAGTTTTATTTGACATGATTTATCATTTAAAAGAAATCTGCAACACACCCCATAACTGAAATGCAAAGATGTCTGTTTTATCAGGCTTACAGGTGTGCAAACATGATATATATTGTCATTTCTGCAGATGCAAGCACAGTTTTGATTTGTTACGTGCTGTTTACCCGATTTTTAATCTTCACAGTTCTCCGGCTCTGCGAGCCTCACGCCAGGCTCAGCAGAAAGGGATAAATGGTCCTGTGAATATGCGATTACATGCATTGGATGCATCCAGAAAGTGCGCAGCCTGGCTGAAATATTTATGAGCTGTTGTTTTTTTAAGCAGAGGAGGGAAAGTATTTTCCCAGGTGGCTCAGATGAGTCGGCCGCTATTATAAAGAAGCGTGCTTTGACAGATCACCGCGCTCCTCAGATCTCATTAGGCAAACCCTGATGGCACACTCTGCCCGACCGAGGGGCTCGCCGCAAAAAGCCCATTAAAATAAATTCAAAATCTTAACACACAATAAAATCTACATGCATTATTCAACTATCTCATTATGAGGCAATCAAAGTACAGAAATACGCAATATTCCATGACATTATTGCAGTCTATAAAACTCAAACAGACTGCTTGTGAGCGATTTCCTGCTTGTGGGACATCTGCTAAAACCTAATTAGGCTGTAAAATATTTTGAAAGTACCTGGCCGTTGTGTTTGAGAAAAAAAGCAATTACTCGATTGGTTAATGCATTATGTCCAGACCAACTTGTGATTATGATCCTGGGGCATCTTAGTATATGAAAAAGCATATGACCTTTATGGCTTCTTAATACTAAATAACGTTCATTTAATGTTATTTTGTAACGTTATTTTTTTCACCATGTCCTTGAATAATGTATTAATAGAAGCACAAGTTATTTTCTGTTCAACGCCTTGTCCCCAACGATGACTACTAGTGTGTAAAGGAAGCTGTATCAAATTGATGCCCTCTGCTGTTCCATATGCTATACAACGGCGCCACCTATTGTTGATCATAGGAAGTTTTTTTTTTTTAAACTACTACTTCGTGTGTTCAACATCATGACTTTAAAGTGTTCCTGTATTCACTTCTGGTGATACGTGACATTTAAACAAAACCTTCGACTATTTAAACAGGTCCTGGGAGGGGAGCCCAGGGAAGTCTGGCCCATTTTAGCGGTGGATTAGCCAGGTTGCATTAGCATTTCAAGGTCAAGCAGGAGACATAAACACTGATGTCATTCTCGTCAATTCAAAAAAGTCATACCTGCAGAACTCTTTTGCTCACCTGCATCAGTAACTTCTTTGGGTTAGATCCAGTGTAGGCCCGCTAACAGTCCAGTGAGTTACTCCCTGTCCACTAGTCTGTACAGTGTGCATAAAATGCCAGCTGGTCAGTAACCTTCTTCAGAGGCTTCAGCAGCCCTGACTACTGGCACAGGATATAACGTTCACTCTGTCTAGCTGTAACTCATAGCCATGCCTGAGCCCTGCCCTTTGCGTTACACAATGTTAAAAGTTTGGCCCAGTTAGAGAGAGCAAGCAGCAGGCCCTTGGAGACAGTCAGAGCTGGTGTCTCTGTTCAGATAATGCTGTACATAACTGGGCTCCCTGGCACTGCCTTGCAGGATGCCCCTAAAGCCTGGAACTTTCTGGAACTGTGCGACCTCTCTGTGGGATACAGCTGAGCTGGGCAGTTAATCCAGGCAGTGTCCAAGCCTGCAGCCCTACTCAGCATCACCATAAGGCCAGTTAATGTAGAGCCAACCTCATTTAGCTGGAATCCTCCTCTGTTCAACTGAGATTAGATGGTGGGCATGGAAGGCCAGGCCTACGCTTGCACTTTGAACCACTTACATAAGATTCAAAATACAGATGCTCCTCTACTTACAAATGAGATACGTTCTAAATGGGCGTTCATAATTTGAAATGTTCGTAAGTCGTTATTCAACATCATTTTAAGGGTATACGCAAGTACAATGAACTACGCTGCTGAGCGGCGGGAGTAGCGGCCAGATGTTGTACTAGGTGGAATTGGCACACAGAAAAAAATTGACGTTGCGGATAGGAAACGGCAGCCCAATGAACACAATTTGGATTTACAGTCCTCTTCGTTCGCGTGTCTGAAAGTTCGTAAGTTGAAAGTTCTTAAGTAGAGGAGCGTCTGTACTAGCAAAATAGCACTACTAATAATAAAACTAGTTTCAGTAATACCTGTCTGCTGCTAAGTATGACATAGGGTGCAGGTTTCCTGTTGGGCAGTTAGAAAGCTTCTTATGTGGATATGCTGTACATATACTTTGTACACATCCTCATTCTTATGGAATTTAATCACCAATCCATGAAGTTCCTAAGAGTGTGGCAGGCAGGACTCGCCATCACAGAGCGCGGATTCCGGCAGCAACTCGTCAGTCCTGACTGCCTTTGGATGTAGAGAATTAGTACCTCCTAGTCTGGTCTGGTGCCTACATTGTTGGGAGTCTTTTTCTTTGTATCCTTTCATTAAATGAATGAATGAAAGGCGTGCAGGTGCTGAGACGTGGTGCAGAATAATGCATAACACACTCACGCTTCATGCAGTCAGAGACCAAGGAGTACAAAAAGATGGTTTTATTATTTACACAGGATGACTTTGAGACCAGAGGAGGAAAGGGGTCCGACTTTCTTGTCAGCTTCAGAACCAGCTTGCACATACCAGCGTTATTTATATATTTATGTATCTGTTTTTTTTTTTTTTTTTTGGAGTCTAATCCGGGAGAACCCGGAGGGAGCGGTTTGTAAAACCCGTGTCCAGATGAAACAGAAACGGCGAAGTAGGGCAAAGGAAGGACCGGAATGTGCAGATGTCAGAGAGCGCCGTGGGCTGGAGAGCGGTCCGACGCAGCGGTACTACAGGAGAGCAGATGCGCGTGTGCGTATGTACGGATGCGCTCCGACGCCAATGAGTTTACGTGTTTAAATATGCACGGTTACACAATCAAGTCCAAGTGAGCGCTAGGGGGGCTCAGTGCGGCGTGTATACCACGGCTGGAAAGGGCAGTGGGGGGGTCCGAAGACTGACTCAGTAACCTGAGGTGAAGTTCCGCAGTGCTTCTGAGTGGGGGGCGGAGCCCTGAGCTGTGAAACTGTAGGCAAAGTAGGCAACTGCAGAGCCCAACATCAGGCCGGTCATGTAGGACACGGTCATCGTGTTCCCTGTGGGGGGGGGGAGAGAATTTTTCAGACAGGTAAGAATTCAAGTGAACATTTGTGTGATGTTCCCTCCTGTAATGCATCTGCCGAAATTTCACCCCAAATCCCACATTAAAATGGAGCAGGCAGCATGAAATTATTATAAGACACACACACACACACACACAGGTACCTCGGTTCTCGAACTTAATCCGTTCCGGACTCCGGAACGAATCCTAAAAAGCTCGAGTTCTGATCGAATTTTTCCCATAAGAGATAATGGAAAACCAATTAATTGGTTCCCGGCCCCCCCAAAATAACACCTAAAGATGTTTTTCTTTTTTTTAAGCATTTAAGCCCAAAATGAACAGGATAAAACAAGAGCAGCATTTTTTCCTTAATGGCTTCCAAAACGATAAAGATCTTATCCCAACATTACCCCTGTCCAGCCCCGATTGTCTGCTCCTTCTGTGTGCCACGCCCCCTCGTTAACCTCGTGTGGGATCCCCATGTGAGATCCCCATGTGATCAGCTGTTTCTGGTTGTTGTCATTAGTCCTCTGTATTAAGTCTGCATTTCAGTTTGTTTCCCCAGTCCGGTCATTATGTGCGTTCAACTTGCTTACAGCGCTGGCTTAAAGCAACGCATTCTGATCCTGATGCAATGCATTACGGTTACATGCATTGCGACCTCTCATCCAGCTGCACAAACTGCAACCACCTCCGTGAATGCCCTTATTGGCTGAAAAGTTTAGTTACACGCATGACGTTTGTATCTCTTGGGAATTCCGATGCGTAATCTGCTATTCCTCCCGAATATCACGTAAAGCAGTGAGAACTGGCTTTCAGTTAATTTACCTGGTAAAATAAAGTTTAAATAAATGACATAAATGCTCTAATAGTACATGTAAGTTAGTGGTATATTTATTGTTAGTAACTGTAATGTTGCGTTGCTTTATTTGGTTAATCGTCCAGTCTGTGAAGAAGGCATTCAAGTAAGAATTGCATAGTATGACTCATTTCCTGGCGCGTACAATTTATATTAGGTCAGCGTTCACTGTTTGATTTCTGATATTCAGATCGAGTTCTAGGTCAAACTGGTTTGTTCGATTTTCAAGAAATTCGAGTTCTAGTGAGTTCGAGAACCGAGGTACCACTTTATATAGAAAACACCACCCAAATTCTCAGGAGTCTGTCAACCGTAATTTATAAAAAATAGACCTCTTCATGCCTGTAAGGAAATGTTTTCCTTAAAAGTTATCTTCTGCAATACGATATACAGGATACTACTGGTTGAATCAAATTTTTGCGGTGGGAAAAGATATCTCAGTTGAAAGTCCATCGGTGGTTTTTAAAATTAGGCTTTCCAGACATGCATGTAAACTAAGTCAAAGCTACATATGGCACGTTTCACTTTTGGCCCCTCGCATGCGAGGCTTGAGGAAATGTGCACATGTTCGCTATAATAACCAGGTATTAAAATGACACTGACACACAGAGGTTGTGACCTCATTCCCCTGTGCACTAGCTGTGAGTGTGAAGAGCCCAGTGTGGGTGGCGTGCAAATGCCCACCTGCTAGCTCCCTCTGCTCGGGCGGCACCTTCCGGGCGGCCAGGATCATGGGCACGCTGCCGAAGTAGCCGTTGCTGATGCCCATGAGCAGGGAGAAGAGGCAGGGCCAGGCAGGGTGGCTGAGCGTAGGCCTCTGTACCGGGTAGACGCACATGATGAAGAGGGGGATGAAGACCACGCGGAAACAGGAAAACAGCAGCAGGCGGCCGCCCTTCCAGTCGTACGGCACGGCAGCCAAGATCTGGGGAGACGGGAGGACGGCGAGAGTCAGGCTCCTCCCATTCATGGCCTAACCCCCCCCCCCCCATAAGTGACTCCCCAGTCAAGGCTCAGCAGAGGCCCCCCACTCAAAGCTGGCTCCTTAACTACTTTTACAAGATCCCGGTTTCTCCGCGTCCTCACTGCCTGCGGTCTCCCTCGCTTACTTTGCCCACGAAGTCTGACATGTTGAAGACAGCCATGATGAGAATGGGCAGCCACTCCCCCAGCGTTGCGTTGCGGATCTCCGATTCCAGGCCCGGGAACAGGCAGAGGGTGATGAAGTAGGTCACCGCAATGGAGAGCATGTAGGCCCAGATCACACGGGACACCACGTAGCGGTGCAGGATCATGTCTGCATCACCAGTAGGGGGTGCAGGTCAGACCCCCAGTTGTCATGACAACAACATAAGTGTAGTGCCCCTATAGAATCATAATTCATACGTTTTGTCTTAATTTTATTTTACATGTTTTTACATTCCAGGGTCTCAAGAAACACACAACATCCAGATGGGATCTTTAATTAATAATCCCTGACAGATGTGTTGATTAAATGCACTGCACCATTCAATTACTTTAAACCACATTTGTTAATTGAAGACTGCATTATTTTCCTTTTTTAAAATTTATTTTGTGTCAGGAATAAATTTAATGGTTAAAAAGCCAAATATATGTTTCACAATGTTTTCTGTGTGCCCATTATAATGATGAAAATGATTCATTCGCTTCATAATTTCGATTAATCTAAGGTTACTTAATTTCCCTGGTGTTTAAGTAACTAAAGGATTGATTAATCTAAATTAAGTTAATAGCTAATTCATTCAAGGGATGCACTTGTAGCTTTTTTCTTATTTAGTCTGGTTTAATTTAATTTAATTACTATGGTGAGCCTTCAGCTATAGCATGGTGTTTACTGTGATCTGAAATATGTGATACATTTAATCAGCATCTCATAGAGGGAGGATTTACCATCACCAGACTGGAACAAAATCCATAATGTCCACTTGCTACTGCTGGACCTGCGATATTGACCTCTGGTATTTGTCATATTAATGCCTATTTTGCTTACCTTTCACTGTAGGCCAGCTTGTCTTTATTTTTTGTTTGGGAACGTCAAACCTCACGTAGGTCCCGCTGCCAGCCAGTTCGCCGTCGGCAGAAGGAATACCCACGGCCCCATCATCCTAACAGCAAAGAGAGCACAGGTCTGGATCCTCCAAGCAGAAGTCTGTCCACCATGAGAAGCAGCTGGAAGCTCCTCCCCTTCCAGCCTGAACCCAATCATTTCCTTTCTCCTGGTAATCAAGCACCGCCCTCTATGACATCACTAACAGTCAGTACCAGGTTGTGCTTCTGTAATCTATTACAAAGTTGCTAAACCATTTTAAAAACCTGGTAAAGCAGAATTATATTGACTGGTGAAGCCTTTCAAGAACCGTGCAAGAGTCTGCCTTTGCCTCTTTAATTTTTGTGGATGCTTTCCAATTCAGTCTCATTTCTGACTAGCGCTGTTTCTCTGTCAAGGCAGAGAGACAAACAACAGTGCCCTCTGACATCCAAGGAACAAAACATTATTTCATGCCAGGCATGCACTGGGCTGTACTGCGCTTATCTGACAGCTAAATCTCAACAACTGCCTGGGGGGGGGAGGGGTGTTTCAAGCCAATAACTGAGACAGCAATGCTTCAAGGTAAACCCAAAGAATCAACCAAGCGTAACAACCTTCTGAGATAAATGATATTAAAAGGGAATAAAAACAGACTCTGGTACTCACATAATCACAATTGTCAAAGAGGCAGCCATTTTAGGGAGGATAGATGGAAAGATTTCCAAGTGATGGATTATTTAGTTGTTGAAGGAACACAGTTTTTTTTTTGCTCCAGAACACAGTACCAGCTTTCTCTGTTTAGTTATCGATGGTTTACTTCCTGGCTGGGCTAGAAAATTCTATTCTGTGATGTTTCTAATTCCCTGTACTGCATGTGTAATTGAAATCAGTCCACAGTAACAAGTGGGATTCTCTGCTGCCGATTTCAGAGTTATTCCTTAGAGCCCAAAATTGATGTTAGTGGTTTTAAGGGTAGATAAAAAGGCAGTTTGTTTTTTTTTTCATTTTTTGCTGTCATTCAGTTGAAATTTGAATTCACTTTCACTCAGTCCATGCACACCTTCAAAAATAACCTTCTAAAGCCTGGATTAATGATGCCGTTTATTTATCTATCTATCTATCTATCCCCCCCCCCGCCCAATGTAAAAGCTAATTATTTTCCTCAGCGTGTGAAAAGGAAAACCAACCCCCATGTCTGGTTGGTAATGTGACTTTTAGCTTTAAAAGGGGAAACTCTGTTGCCAACCCACCAATTAACAGGAAATTCAGAACAATAACACAGCAAAACGTAAATTGCAAAGGAGGGTCTGGTAGTGTGACCTGGGCCCTATACCTGCTTCAATCAGGAATTGTGGCCTATTTGCATGCCAAAAGCCTTCTGGATTTTTACAACACTAAAGTCTAATTTTTTAATAAACGTGTCATAGCTGAACAGATCCAAGTAGTGCTGCAAATGCTGATCACGGCTAATAGATGATAAGGACCGAGGCAGCCAGCGTGCAGCCTCTCTGCTCGTGACGCACTCACAGCCTGCACACCGCCCTGTTGTTATGGCGACGCAGGGCTCTGGCAGGGGCGTGGCGTTTGGCTGGGGATGCACAGCTGGCGTCCATGCCTCAATAAATTACCAGATAAATGCCCCTCACCCCCACCCCCAGTAAGGAAGAGCCGAGTTACAGACCATGCATTACTGTATTTAATTTTGCAGTCATTTTAGCTGCTCAGCCTCTGTGACTTCACTGTATTGCTCAGATACTCCACCCTGGCTCAAAAATACTGTTACAAAGATTCTCCACCCTGTTAGATAAGTATGCCAATCCATTACAAAGATATTCCACTCTGCCATTTAGACACAACTCACTATCACCATGTGACATAGATACTCTGCACCCTTACAAAGATACACAATCTAACCACTTGGATACTCTACTCCCTTATAACGATACTCCACCCTGTCACATAGATACTTTACTCCCTTACAGAGGTAGCGGAGGCCCTGCTACTCAGATATTCTACTCCCTTACAGAGACAGTCCACCCTGCTACTCAGATACTCTGCTCCCTTACAAAGATGCTCCATCTTCTCTTTCACATACACCCTTATTCCTTAGCAGATGCTAAAGTAGTTTACATCACATTTTTGTAACCAAATCTAAACTTATCTAAACTCCAAATTTAAAAATTGACTTTAATAATATATCATGCTAACTTAGCATTTTCTACCTAAAGAAAAACTTACGAATCTTACTTCCTCTGCGTTGACGTCATGGTGGACCTGGTATCCGGTGGCCCGGTCTGTATGACCTTTGACCTCGGTGAGACCCTGGCGGGCAAGGCTGGTGTAGTGCTGCACGAAGCGGGTCCGACGCACCAGCAAGTGCAGCATGAAGCAGGTGAGCTCCATGCAGATTGAGATGAGGAAGAAGATGATGGTGCTCTTCTTCTCGTTTTTGATCAGGAGCTTGGTGAAGATGCGACTCAGGGATATGATGACGCCCGCAGTACCTGCATGCAGCAGACAGCACAT